AAAATCCACGATTCCAGATGGCGGATAGCTTCTTCTGCGTTTGTCGACTTAGTAGGGAATATCCACGTATATTTCGAAAAACCATCGACAACTGCGAAAATATACTTGTAGCTTTTCGACGTCAAGTCCAACGAACCTAAGTGATCAATGTGCAATGTTGAAAGTGGTATGTCGCCTTTATCTATTGCGTGTAGAAAATCCTCTTGTTTACCCAGCTTTTGGTTGTGAGTGATACATTCAATGCAGTTCGAAATTACCTGCTTTACTTTCTTTTCCAAGTGTGGTATATAAAAATCCTGCTGAACTGCGTGTATGGTCTTCTGAGTTCCCATGTGGCCAAAGTTATGTGCATTCTGAATTATCTCCTTCTCCATACATTTTGGTACTGCCAGCAAATCTTGTCCATTTATTTGTTTAAAAATTATGTCGTTCTTGATTACATAATCTGCATACGCCTTCTGCTTCAAAATTTCCCTCACTGTTGTTAGATGTTCATCATTCTGCTGCGCTCTTCTGATCTGTGCGTGCACCTCCGACGTAACGATCATCACAGGAAAACGACTCAGGCTATCGACATGCTGCATTCTGGTTCCTGCTCGGTGCTCTGCATTGAAGGTAAAATCTTGTAGATACATCAGCCACGGCGTCACTTCTCGAGGAATATCTTTCTTGGAGATTGTCTGTTTAAATGCTGCACAGTCAGTGACTAAATCAAAGTGTGTTCCCAACAAGTAATGTCGAAGTCTCTTCGTTGCTAGGTAAGCTGCCTTTACTTCAAGTACGTAACTTGTAAGCCTTTCTTCTTGTGGCGTTGTTTTCTTGCTCCAGTAAAAAACAGGGTGCCATTTGCCATCGTGTTGCTGCAGTAGCGTTCCACCAAATCCATGCTTAGATGCATCCACATGCAATTGTGTTTTAGCGCTTTGGCTCCAAATCTTGAGAACAGGTTCATCTATTAGGGCTGCTTTTAGTTGTTCTATTGCTTGCTTCTGTTCTCCCTCTATTTTAAAAGCCGAATCTTTTTTCAACAGCTGCGTTAGGGGTTTAGCGATGAGGGCGTAATTCTTAATAAACTTACGGAAGTAGCCCGTCAAACCAAGAAAAGCTTGAATACCTCTGATATTTATCGGCATTGGAAAATTTTTAACGGCTTTAACCTTCTCTTTCCCAGGCCAAATCTCTCCATTTTCCACCTCGTAGCCAAGGAAATTAATACGCTCTTTTAAAAAGTGGCATTTCGACCATTTAATATCGAGGCCGTACTGCTCTGCCTGCTTTAGGACTCGCTGCATGTTGTTAAGACATTCTTCGACTGTACGTCCAAAAACAACAATGTCGTATATGTACATCTCCATAATACCTTCATTGATCAGCTGCTGGAAAATATATGTAACATACCTCACGAATACTGCTGGCGAATTACAAAATCCAAATGGAGCTCTGTTAAATTCGAAAAGTCCCTCCTTTGTCACAAACGCTGTGTATTTTCGGCTCGGTTCATCAATTTCGACGTGGAAGAAACCATTCTTGAGGTCAAAGACTGAAAAATATTTCGCACCTTGCATTTTATCAAGCACTTCTTCTATGAGTGGAACTGGGAATCGATCTTTCAGAACCATTGTGTTCAAAACGCGGTAGTCTATGCAAAGCCTGTATGTGTTATCCTTCTTCTTAGCTAGGACAACTTTACTCGCAACATCAGAATGGGATTCACGTACGATACCCTGCTGTAACCATTCCACGACCTGTTTGCGAATTATCTCTCGTTCTGCTGCTGATGATCGGCTAGGCTGCTCCCTAAATGCCATTTTGTTGCAATTCGGTATTATTGTCATCTTTACTGGACAGGTTAGCTCCTTCGACGGTTTGTAATTATCAACTAGCTGCTTGACGACTGCTTTGTATTTGTGTGGAACATCTAGTTCTGTATCCTGACTTACAACGTTGTAGACATTATGTTGTACACGAGCTTCTTCGGCATCATCTCCTCCAGTGAAAGCATATTTGCCTTTCTCCAGCACAACTGTGAACTTCTTCAAGAAATCAAAGCCGATGATTACGTTGACATTGACTTTGGAATCAGGGACGATGAGAAACTTATGATGAGTAGCCATTCCATCCACCTCCACTTGCGCATTCAACGCACCTAGTACAGTTGTCGCAATATTTCCGAGACCGTACAGTTTAGCAAAACTTTTCTGCAGTGGATTTTCAGCGAACTTCTCCTTATATGTCCTGAATCGCATAAGGGACACGTCAGCACCAGTGTCGACTAGACAGGAAACGCTTTTGTTGTTGATGGTAAGGGTCTTCTCCCTTGACTCGCTGATCACACCGATGTTTGGATTTTCTCCTCTACAATTGCGTGATGTGTGCCCACTGCCGCTGCACTTAAAACATTTAGTCTCCTCTTTGCATTCAGCTCTCATATGCTCGGGTGAGCCGCAGTTAAAACAATACCTTTTGTTTTGGTTTTGTTGGTGCTCGAATCGCCTCCCTGGTTTTACTGCTTTGCCGGCGTCACTCTGCTGCACTACTTGCTTTCGTCCGGCTGTTGGTTTGTCATCATTTCGATCGTTTCAAATCGGCTGCGCAACTCCTTAAAACTGGGCGCACTGTAAAGAGGATATTTAAGATCGTTACTCAGCTTTAGTCCATCTGCAATATAACGGATCACCGATTCATCTTCAACCAATCCTTGAGCTGCTATCTTTCGCATATGCAATACGTATTCATGAAAGTTCTCGTTCTCATTTTTCTTTCGTTCTCCCAACTGCTTGTGCACTTCAGCACTGCTTAGCGATTTATCAAATTCATCCAACAATACAGCAGTTAAATTCTCATACGTTGACACGGTTGTAGATTCGAGAAATAACTTAGCTGTGCCCTTCATCTTCATACGTGCGTTCACATATTTCTGCTTGGTGGTCAGCTCATAGGCATCCGCGTTCTCGTCAAAACATTTTAGCCACTGCTTAATTGGGATTGAAACTCCATCAAAATCTGGCACAACTTTAGAGAAGCTTTCAATTGGAATGGCATTCCTGTTGGAATCGCTTTGTCCAATTTTCGCTGCAAGTAGTTTGAGCACTTCGCTCAGTTCGTTGTTGTTGGGTACTTCTCCATGGCCTGTTGTGAATTTCAGCGTGTGGTGAAATTCTGAATTTGCTGCTCCGCCACCTGCAAAGTTTTCAATCTCATTCCTGCCGATTTCATCCCTTTCGCTTTGGTCTTCTACTTCGTTCGGCGGCAAGAAAAATGTTGTATTCAAATCCATCTCTTTGACTTCTGCGTTTACTGGATCTTGAGATACATGCTGTTGTCCACTTCGGGTTTTGGGTTGATTATTCTGGTTGTGATTTTTGTTCTTCTTCGCAGACCGAATCATTATTACAACGTTTTATTAAACTGCAACTTGATCGTTCTTGTTATGTCTCTGTCCTCTGTATTCGACTGACGCTCACACACACAACTGTACTTTTTTCGACTCTTTCAATTGCTGCTTCGGTTGAGCCCCCATGTAAGATAATTGGATTATCTGTTTATTATATTTATATGTTTATAAGGATTATATTTAGGTTTACAAAGTATTAGGCGATTGATTAGAATATTGACAGCTTATTATCGCGACTTTTGAAGGGTTATACAACTTATTTTAGCTGCTCTATAAACGACGCTACGACTTCTGCAACTTTTCTCGACGGCTTCTCTCTCTCTAGTGATGTACGATAGCGACTCCCTCTTGAAGACACGACTCCTGCCGATATTTGTATGGGCTGCCAACTGATGCCCATAACACCTCCTTACATATATACATAACAAAAAAAAAAAGACAATTAATTTTCGAAGTGAATGCTGGAAATCTCCTCCCATTCCATTTCCAGTTGGTGTTGGTCGAACTCCTCGTCGCACAGGTCCGACCCTCCCTGCGCGAACACCAACAGCCGCCCTGGGTTGCTCATTCTAACAGCTAGGTCTATAAAATTTGTGGCAGAACTGTTTAGGTGCCGCCGCAGCTCGTCAAGAGCTTCAGCGGTAATGTTTTCCGGCACTTGAAGAGCTGCGCCGGTACGCTGTTCGGGCTCTGGACGAGCTGCGGCGGTATCTACGTCGGGCTCTTGAGCTGCGGCGATATTTTCGGTGGGCTCTTGATTCTTATATATCATAAAAAAAAGAATGGCTGTTTGTATGAGTGTTTGTTAGTGTGAGTAGGCTTCGATGCCTGGCAAAATAGCACATAAACTAATTGCCTTGTTTGTGTCGCACCCAGCACTTGAACTAGGTGGACTGCAGTTGGAGGAGTAAAGATCTCTTTGAATTGCAGATGATTACTGGTTTTATTGATTCAAACTTAACGATATTTATAGCTAACAAATGTGCTTGCATTTACGAATATTAATGATAAAGAATAATGTAGGTTGCTAGTGAATGCGGAAACGAATATGCTTCTGGTTACAAATGTTGATGTGCAAGAATAATGTAGGTTGTATTGCTCCATTCCACTTCATCGTCGTCAGCAGAATCTACATATGCGCTTGACCTGGTAATCTATACTTTATTTTGGCTGCATATGAGAGTGCTGTGACTGACGAATTACAGATTATGTAATGTTATGATTATGAATTATATATATATTGCAGCGACTGAACATTCTCCCGGCCGTTGAACGGGTGTTCAACCTTCAGTAATGTCGAACGAAAAACTCCGTGGGGTAGGTTCGGGTGCTGGCTGGTCACTTGTTGTCCGGGGATTGGGGCCGCATTGTGGTGTTCTCCAATTGCCTCGTCGATATCGTAGACTCAGGGTCACGATCAGTAGTATTGATATTGATAGTGCCACATAGGAGGCTACTTGATGATGGTGTACAACGCTGACTTGATTTTCGTACTTCGCATCTTTTAGTTTGGCCAGTTGTTGTTGTAGGGCATCTAATTCGCGTAATTCGGCGTCGGCTGTCTTGGTCGTCGATTCTACGCCTGGTTTCGGTGTCTCTTCTATGTTTATCTTGGTGATGTTGCCAAAACGAACATATGCTGCTTTTGTCTCGCTGCGGCTTGTGCTACATGTACTAACGCTGATTTTTGAGTTGCGTGCCGTGCAACCTGCGGCGAGTGATAGTAAGCCTGTTCCTTCCATTTGTACTGTGGAGGGAACTCCCGTGCATACCGCCTGCAGTTCGATCGGACTGTGGGTTGCAAACATCCATCTGTTTCGTTGATGTGTTGCTGACCACATTAAATCGGACTTCGATTTAGCAGTCTCACATTCCGTTTCAGTCTTGTTATTGAACAACTGAAATTCACATCGATTATCTACGCTAAACGTAGCTTGATGATTGACGCATATGTGTTCATCCTTTGGCAATTGTAGACATTGATCAAACTCGTCAGTAGTTAGTCCCATGAATTGATCTCTATGGGCATTGACAGTTATGATCCTTGTTTTGAGCTTGAATTCATGCCAGCTTCCTGCCTTCCATGCAGGGATGGGGATGACGCTGAAAACTTCTTGCTGCGCTGTGGATACTAATGGCAGCGTTATTTTGAAGATAACATGGTCAGTGGTTGTTGTTCCCTCGGCATGCATGATTCGATAGAGTTGTATTACGTCATTTGAAGAGACTGGCAGCTGTTGATCCGGTGGGATGTGCTCCCTAATCTGATCAAGTTGATCCCTTAATTGTTGGGGAGAAACTAGCATGGGACTAATTGTTCGGTGGCGAATGTCGGTAAGGACGTTGGTTATCTCATTTTGCATTCGCTGCATTCCATTTGCCAGTAGAGTGAGCTGGGCTGTCAGGATCATGAATGCTTGTTGCAGATAATTGCCTTGATATTTTCCTCGTTCTCTGGTGAGAGCATCTATTTGTTGTTCTATGTTTCGTATGCGGTCGTTGGTAGCTGAATTGCTTTTCCTTACCACATTTATAGTGGAATCCAAGATTGATGTTTGGTTCTTCAATAGCATCATGAGTACGTCCTCGTTTGATTTGACATCGTTTATGACCTTGGACATATCTTCAGCATATTTGGAATCCAGCACGCCAAATAATGAGTTCGCCACATTACCGACTATATCTAGCGGTGATCTTCGCTGCCGTGAGTGGTTAATAAGCTCATTTCCGGCTTGCAATTCGGCATGTACGTGCAGAAAGTGTGCATATATAGAGTTACATGCATTGACGTTTTGTAATTCTGAACACTTGTGCTTGAGTTCAGTTATCCCGGCAGCCAATACTCTCATGTCACTCCAATATGGTTGCAAGTCGTAATATACAATGATGGTCCAGTCTGAAATTGCCATTCTAGAGGTCCCGATTCTTTCATAGAACAGTCCTGGCTGATTTGTGAAATGCGTGACCTTTGTTTGTTGTCCTACGCTAGTGGCAGAATGAGTAACATTGCCAGCAGGGTTGGAAGGATCGAAGGTGATATCTTCCTCCTCTGTGTAGGCATTTCATCCTTTGCCGTTGTATCTTCGATGGAACTGTGCGGACGTTTAACGGCTGTTTCTTCTTTTAACAGTGGCGCGAGACGAGTTACTGACCGTTTGAAGATCCCAGATGCAGTCTTTACATCTACTACTCGGACATGGTCGTCCTTACCGGGATATGTCTTCACTATTCGTCCCATTGGCCAACTCATCACAGGCACGTTGTCTTCCTTGACTAGCACAAGTAGTCCCTCTTTCACGTTTTGTGATGCGGTTTTCCACTTGTTGCGCATTTGAAGCTCTTGTAGATACTCCATAGACCATTGGTCCCAGAACATTTGTTTTAATCTGGACACTAATTCCCATCTTTTCACCAACGTTTTCCCTGGTGAGGCTAGATTTGCATCGGGAGCGGCGGTCAACGGTTCACCAATCAAAAAATGGCCAGGAGTCAGAGCTGATGTATCTGTTGGATCAGATGACATTGGTGTCAGCGGTCGGGAATTGAGGATTGCTTCGACTTCCACGATTACGGTGTTAAGCTCCTCAAATGTTAATGACGCTGTGGCTGTGACTGATACTAGAAGCCGCTTCGCAGATTTCACCGCAGCTTCCCAAAGCCCGCCAAACGATGGTGCTCGGGGCGGTATGAACTTAAACTCCACTTGCTTTTTATTGCAATGGTTTATAATCTGTTCTTGAGCCTTGTCGGTGGATATAGCTCCCTCTAGGGCCTTCAATTGATTATTGGCACCGACAAAGTTTGTTGCGTTGTCACAGTGAATAGTCTGACATTTTCCGCGTCGACCCAAAAATCGTCGAAGAGCAGCTAAAAATGCATGCATGTTGTCAAGTCACTTACTAACTCCAGATGAACTGCCTTTGTTGCAAAACAGCAGAAGACTGCAATGTATGCCTTATCAGGTCTTTTCCACGTAGTTTGTGATGAATCCAAATCGGTCCACAGTAGTCAACACCAGAGTTAAAGAATGACCGAGCTTGTGTTACTCGGTCAGCTGGTAGGTTGCCCATGATTTGTTGCATCAACTTGGGCCGTGCCTTTGTACATCTGACACAGCTGTGAATTATGCTTTTTGCCATTGTTTTATCATTGAGAATCCAATATTGTTGTCTGGCAATGGCTCTTAGAGCTTGAGCCCCGCAATGCATGTTCTCTTCATGCATCTCTCGCAGTAGCATTTTCACAAGTGGATCGTTGTATGGAAGCAAAATTTGATGCTTCGCGTTATATGGAAGGCTAGATTCTTCTAATCTACCTCCGACTCTGATCAGTCCGTCGTTTCCGATTATAGGACATAGGGAGACAATCGAGCTCTTTTTGTCCAATGTTTTGTGGATTCGGAGTTGTTTGTATTCAGCACTAAAATCAATTTGCTGGATAGTTCGCAGGATGATGGTCCTTGCATTGGTTAACTCACCGACACACAATGTAGTTGTGGGTGATCTGTTTTTCTTGTTACAGAACCGCATCATATATGCTACAATACGTTGTAGCTTATTGAAGGAGTTGCTGTGGTTGCACTTGTAGAGTACACTGCCAATTTCATTTTGACATGTGGGCAAGCTTATGTGATTGAGCCTGCGTTCTAGATCGCTGGGGGTGGTAGTTGGTACCTGAGCCCACTTGTCCCGAGAGCCATGTAGAAATAGAGGTCCATATAGCCATAGATTGTGTTCTGCTAACCTGCTGGCGGCAATTCCTCTTGATAGTACATCTGCTGGATTGTTAGCTGATGACACGTGACGCCACTGAGATTGGTCTGAAACAGCTTGGATTTTTGCGATTCGATTTGCCACAAACGTGTGATATGATGATGCTGATGCGTTTATCCAGGACAGCACCACAGTCGAATCTGACCATAAGTATCCAGGTACCTTATACGTAAATCCTTCCTCACCCTGTGGGTTAGCTCTGCTCCCAATACTGCGGCGCATAGTTCCAGGCGAGGCAGCGTCTCTTTTGCTGTCGGCGCTACTCTTGACTTTGAGCACAGTAGCCGAACAGACACTTGATTGTTCTTATATGTGGCTCGGACATAGATTGCTGCTCCGTATGCCCGCTCTGACGCATCGACAAACGTGTGAATTTCCTGATTAATGGGCACCTTTCCGTCAAAGATGTGCCGTGGAATTTGCAAATTGTTCAATGCTTGTAGATCAGCACGATAATTTTTCCACTCAGTTTGCAGCAGTTGAGGAAGCTCGTCGTCCCAGCCCATCTTCAGCTCCCACAGGCTTTGCATGAATATCTTAGCCTTTACCACAACAGGAGCGAATAGTCCTAGTGGATCGAAAATTTGTGATGCCTCCGAGCTCACCACTCGTTTGGTGATGGTTGACGCTTCACTTTTTTGGGATCACCCACATAGCTGATCCTTATTTGGTACCCAGATCAAACCCAATGTTTTCACACTGTAGTGTTGAAGGGTTTCGTCTAATTTGACGTGGTTGACTATGTCTTCCTTTGGAATTTGTGCAAGAACTTCGTCATTGTTGGAGCACCACTTTCGGAGCTTGAATCCGGCTGGTAGCAGTATTTTGTTTAGCTCTTGTTGAATCTGAACTGCTTCTGGGATGCTATTTGCTCCTGTGAGACAGTCGTCAACATAAAAATCATGCTTGAGCACGGCTGCTCCAAGCGGTAAATTCTTTTTGGTTTTCTCAGCCAAGTAATCCAAGCATTTTGTAGCTAGGAATGGAGCTGATGTTGTACCGTATGTTACGGTTTTAAGTCGATAATACTTGAGTTCGTCTGATGGATTCTTTCGCCAGACGATTAATTGATAAAATTGATTATCAGGATGTATCCATACCTGGCGATACATTTTCTCTATATCGGCTGTGAACACGTACTTGTGAGTGCGGAACCGTAGTAAAATTGCAAACAGTTCGCTCTGTACGGTGGGTCCAGCATACAAAATATCATTTAACGACTTGTTGCTGGTGGTCTTGCAGGAAGCATCGAACACTACCCGTAGTTTTGTAGTGCTGCTTTCGGGTTTTAGCACACAGTGGTGCGGAATAAAGTAGTGATCCGTAGGTATCCTTGTGGGAGGCACTTCTTTCATGTGTCCAAGGCTTTCATACTCGTCCATAAAATCTACGTAACCTTTCCAGACTTCAGGTGATGTTCTGCGCTCTAGTGCCAGGAACCTGTTAGTTGCAGTTTTCTGCGATGCCCCCAGGGCTGATGATTGCTCAGAAAAGGGAAGCTTTACTATGAACCTTCCATCTGCTGCGAATTGGAGATTTCCTAGGAAGTGTCTTTCGCAATGAGCCTCTATCGGTGATTTTGGTTTCTCTTCCGTTTCTAGGTTTTCCAAAGTCCAGAAACGTTCCAAAAGCGTGTCGATTTGGTCCTCTGTGGTTACAGGCGCGCAAATTGCTGCTTGGTTGTTTTCTGCAGATACTTTCCCGGCGACAATCCAACCAAGTTTAGTATTCTGTAGGACCGGGCCGCCTGGTTTTAACATCATCTGGTTTGGCAGTAGTAACGAATAGTAGTGCTCAGCTCCGATAAGCATGTCAATTTTTCCTGGCTTATCAAAGTTTGCATCTGCCAAAGCGATGTTTTGAGGGAGTCGTAGATTTGTTGGATCTAGCTGATGAGCCGGTTGATCGGCTATAATGTGTGGTAACACGAAAGCCTCGACTTGCTGAGTAAAGTCGTTATGCATTGATTTCATTTGCACATTTACTCTAGCTCGACTAGTCTTAGGATTGCCTCCAATACCTTCGATACGTAATGAAGTACCGTGGAGCCTTAATGATAGCTTTGAAGCCATTCGTTCAGAGATCAAGTTTATTTGTGATCCTGAATCAAGCAGAGCTCTGAAAGTGGCCACCTGACCATTGCTTGCTTTCACTGATACCTTGACTGTGGCCAGCAGATTGTAACTCTTGTTACTTGCTGCCCCTACAGAAGGTGATTGTGGTTCAGTTGCTGCACCTGATGACGTTTCAAGATGCAGCAGTGTATGGTGTTTTTTATCGCATTTAAAACACAAACGGCCTCGGCATTCCTTTGCCTTGTGGTCGCTGCTGAAGCAGTTGACACACATTCGTTGTTTTTGTACCCAATTGAGTCGTTCGGGTATTGGTTTATTACGGAAGTCATCACATTTGTATAGCCAATGATTCCGTTTGCAAAATGGGCAGCTTGGAAATTTTTCCAGCGCTGGCAGAAGTGCATGTTGGCCCCTTCTGATCCCTTTTTGCTTGTTGACTTCTTTTTCCTGTTCCCAGTACGCGAATTCTCTGGTCGAGGAAGTTAAGTATTGTGTCGAGACCTTGCAGTTGTCGAGAACCATCCAACGACTGTTCGTACAAGGCTCTATTAGTAATATCCAATTTTTGCTTGATGATAGCAATCAATATTGTATCCCAGCTGGATACATCGATTCCTAGTCCCCTTAATGATGCCAGGGACTCGATAGTTGTTATATACAACTCTTTCAGTGATTTCGGATCGTCACTATTCGTGTGGTGTTGCAAGAGCCGATTAAGAATCGTGTCGGCTACGTGTCGGGGATTGTTGTATTCATCAACCAATATGCCCCATGCGCTTGCGTAATTTTCTTCTTTTAGATCGATGTGTCTTATCAATCTCTCTGCCTCTCCAGTTACGGTGGTTTTTAGATACCACATTTTCCGTACTGTCGGCATGTTGGTGTCATGGACCATGCATTTGAATAAATCAAAAAACTGCGTCCATTTGAGTAGATCCCCATCGAATTTGGGGATGCTAACTCTGGGCAAGTGTACATCTTCATTGCTCGATGCATTAGTTTTTGCCCCTAACACCTTTTTGGATATCCCTTTCCAGTCGGAGAAATGACTGCATGTCGTAT